TTCCCTTGGAAGAATGTCATCATCGACTAATATTAATAATGCGTTCAACTAGTTATTGAATTTATATTCTAATAATGATATCGACGAGCCTCAATAAGAACATGATCTGTGTGACATGGCTTGGCGAAAGTTCTAACAATTTATCATTGTAATAATTGAAACTGTCATTTTGAGTTTGTAATATAAATTTTGTGAAGTTAACTTGAGATTTTCTTATTAGCGGAGATGTTCATCAATTATTTTGCACTGGATTTAAATAATGCTATATTACTTGTTGTAGCATCAATTAGGACAATTTGATTACGATAAAATAACTGTATATTATATAAGGATTATCCCATATAAATTGAACGATCAACTCTAATTAAATTAATATAGACAATTGATAGAAGCATACAATCAGGCTCTACGTTACTACGGGTATCGCTAATTTTTATATAAGTTATATAATTATCATTCGCGAAACAAATTTCGCTAGTGGTAAAAAATGCAGACCTTACTACTATTTCTCTTCTTTTCTGTACAATTCTAAAGAAATTTTGCATAACCTTAGTTGCAGTCGAGAAATAAAAGTAACAACATTTGATAAGCAATCGATGTATTGATTTAATTATCAGAATGATATTATTAGATGGAACTGGAAAGTAGTCGATTTTCCGTGATATACTTTTCTTTGTCCTATTTTCAGTTTTCATAATCAGGATTAATAATTAAATTTATTCACAGCTGGGCTGTTAAAATCAAAAAGTAATATATTATGGCCAATTAAGAATAATTAATAAATGACAAAAATCAATTTTAATTCCGCTCAATAGAACGTCTATGATAGCCCATAGAGAAAAGCATTTTCTTAATATAGCAAAGTATGATAGGATATACGAAGTACACTTGTACGAAACTTTTATAACTTTGAAGATAATCAGTAATTGATAAGTTATTTATATATTATCTTGATTTTTTACGCTAGGACTGACAATCAGTGCAATTCTTATTTATTTTTTATGCGCCGGAATGAGCATGTAACATATTCAAGAGCAGCAATTTCATTGAAAGGTAGTAACGCGTATTTACTGATAGGATGGTATATTAGAATCTAAGTCGAACACTTCTTGCATCTAAAGATTTATTGATGCAGTCTAGCAGTACGATTATACATTAGCATTTATTTAGATCAGTTTAAAATTAACAGCAATACTCTATTTATAGGTAATTCATCATTTTACGAGTACTTAATAAACGTTTACATTGCGCACATTTCGGTACTACTCCTTAAATGATATAATCGATTAATCTTTATAAAGAAATGATCCCAAATAACAAGCTAAACTATACTTATATTAATTTAGTAATTTCGGGAATCTTTGGTATAATTTATCTTTATTGTATGTGTTTGATTGCTAGTTTAATTTGGAGTATTTTAGCATGATAGTTGGATAGTCTAATATTACCAACTGCTCTATGAAGCATATAAAAGGTGGCATAGTTTGATAGTTTAGTGCAGTTGAAGATAGAGAAGGCAAGAAAAGTTTAGAATAATCGTGTATTAGCTCATTAATTGATATTTTGGTTGGCTGAGGCAGCAATCCTGCCCTTTTTTGTTACTCCTTTAAGAATTTTGCTAAGATTGTTGTTAAAGTTATAATAAATTGGTGTTTTTCCCCCTGTACATTTTGTTTTGAAGTTCAATTGCTGATTATTTAAGCTTAGTTTTTTTCTCGTCCAACATTTCTTTACAATAAGATAAAACTTACGATAAGTGCTATACGTAGTTCATTTAATAGTGAATATGAACGAAAATAATACTATAATTTTGTAATTTGGAAATATTCCTACGTCAGATATATTAGTTTCCTATTATTTGAATATTTGCTAGCAAAAATGTGAGCGATATTTTCTCGCATTATTATGCTTAATTAAGATGTAAATTGCCAAAAGATTCGTATTTTACAGACTTTTTTTTAATGTTTTACTAGAAAATCCGTCCATTTGAAGATCATTGCCTTTCCTGAAAATGATTTCTAGTTCAAAATCTGGCATATTCTATTCGCCTACAAATGGAGTAGTAATGAATGCTACGCCAATAAAATATAGTAAATTATAATTAATGGTTTATATTGTATTCGTGAAATCTTTTAAAACGCTGATCTCGCTCTAAATGTTGTCTTGATGATCGTGATCAAAGTATCTTTTTGGGGGTGTATATGCTTAAAACAGATTCAAATGCTTACTTTTATAACTAGTCTGTTTAATTCCCGATAGACTTATAATGTAATTATAGTAAATCATGCACGTGCAGATTTCAGAATTAAGGGCTTGGTTATACTTTCATTTGTAAGTTATTATGATACGATTTAACGAATCTTACTCTATATCAAGCCGTTTAATCGTTAGAGTATCAAAATTATAATTTTAAGCATAGCCTAGACTATCTGAAATATCGATGTCGTTCAAACATGCGATTAGCATGAAACGTTTAAAATCGAACTGTATAGGCAGAATTTAACCTTTTCCAGTGTCTGCCATATTTTATAGATCTATTGACTTTATAAAAGAGCCATAGTGACGATTACTTCGATAGCTACTCAATTCTAAATCACTAAACTGACCTAGGGGTACGGACCTATACAGCTAGTGGATAAAATTATTGATCAGTGCAGAATTACTACTACCATAATTATAGTATTAGTTAGTATAGCTACTATCAAAGTTATGTGATTGTATAGTTTTAACCCTACTTCAATATTATTGCATTAAGAAATATAGGGTTTTTACAATTTTCAGTACTTAAGAAAAAGCAAAGGAAATAATCTACATTTTTTCTACACAAAAATAACTCAGTATAAAGTATCCGCAGCCTGGTAATCATGCGATATAGATTTGATTTTGCAATCGATTCTAAAAGAAAATTTGTAAGTTTCAAAGTACTCTAAAAATGTAATAAACAAAACATTTAATTAGCTTTATTATCTAACAAATTCTTTGTAGTAGTGTATGAGGACGTTCGGAAGAATTCAATGTATGATTTGAGGTTAAAATACAATACATTCACAATATCGTAATCATCAATTTATTAGAACGGTAGGAATAAAGATTATTATTTCAATAAAGAAACTCCGCATAATTTCATGTCAATATGAGTTATTGATAACGTAATACATGACGTGTTTAAAATGGAACTAATCATAAAATTTTTCTTTACCGCGTTAACTTTATAATAGTAAGCCTGATCACTTATCAAATCTTTTCAAGTCATGACAATCATCTATTTGATAACTACGGAATCATATTTTGCTCTTTTTACTATTCTAAATTTTTTAGAATGATACAATGGTGTCCTTCAAATACAGTATCATATGATGCAAACATAATTGTCAATAGAAATATCTAGCCTAATTATGTTAGTAATCTTACATAGTAATTTCATCTCAATTTCCGATATATAAGGTAAAACTGATATTGATCGTTCAAATTATTAATGCACAGTATGTCGTCGTAAAAGAGTAATTTTTATCAATAAATTAATTATAAGTAGCCACCAAACAATAGGCTGCATGATCGATTAAAAGAGATGGCCAACGAAAGTTTGTATCACGTAAATCACTCCATGAGTCAGCTATCCTGCAATTTGCCGTTGAAACATTATTATATCACCTTTTTATAGCTTTATAATTATTTTATCTAACAAATAACACGAAGGACTTTGTCGACATGTATGAGCTCTCCTGTACTTTTACTATAATCTATCCTATATACAATCTTGTAGAAGTTAGAATATATGTATATAAGGGATTCTGCATTAGTAGATACCATGAAAAGACTTGGTAATAATTGTTACATAACTTATTATGCTAATAATATAATCATAAATCAATTATCAAGCGTACAATTTCATTATTTAGTATGATGTTATCATCGTTCAATTAAGTGAAAGAGATTCTTAAGCGAAAAAATTAAAATTTTATTTACGGTATGATAAAGTAGTGTATATCTAAGAGTATGCCACCGCTTGGGAATGTCCATCTATTTTGGTTGTATGTTATTATCGCTTAATTACAATGTTTAAGATGAAGTCATGATAAATTGAGTTCTCTGTTTCTTGGTTAAATTGAAATTATTCGTTATCCTTACTAGTTAATTTTTATTATTAATCGAATTAACGTGCTTGGTCTGAAGGTAGATGAATCAACTATCCGGAACTTGTGATAGATTATCAATAGCATGGAAAACAGTAGCATGTCGCGTTCTATAATTTTAGTTATTAAGGGAAAATGCATGTGCATATTATAGCCAGTCTGAAACTAATCACTCCGGTAATTTTAATCAACAATGCTGGTTAATTTGGGAACGTGAAAAGTTACACAGTAGTTTAGCAGATATTAGAATTATGCTATTTTTACTTGGAGACCATAACCAGAGGTATTTTTCCTGGGCATCATAATAAAAAGGCTTTCTATTAAGATTTTAACTCTACTGAATGATTGCATTATTTTGAAACGAGGAAATATGTAAATGTGTCAATTTCAACGGAATCGCAGATTGACTTTGAAAGTTAAAATTGTTAGTATTATATTTTCTTTGTAATAGATAGTACACGGATTTTATTATATAGTAGTTAGTAGTAAACACTATTTTCAAAGGTTGAATAATAATTAAGTTGTGTCAAATTCAGTTTTCTATTATTGATTTGTAAATAATTGAAAGAATTTTTCATCATTGAATAAAATCAAAATTGCTTGATTACCTACGAAGTTTCGAAATGATAAATTAGGAAAAAATCTATTAAAACTTCTGATGTTGTTTGCTAGTTTCGACTTTATTCAATTCCTTTCGCTTAATCAATTACAACTATATCATGGCAATAGAATTGTTTAATTTACAGACGCTGTTACATCGGTTCAGTTTTGTGAATCATTACTTTAACCTTGATACAGTACATTGTTATGCAAGAAATAAAAATACGATAAATATAAACAACAAAACTGCACCAATTTCATTCGAATTTAGTATAATTTACAATATTTTACCCAGGATCCGAGTAAGGTTTTAAGACCTTTTCTTATAGATGTATCCATAGCTCCATATATGATTGGGTTAAAAGCCGAGTTAGCCATTGCTAGCCATGTTGTAATTTGATGAAAACTACAGGGTAACGGGCTTATTTCATAAATGGTTAAATATATCATACTAATAAGATGCGGTAGCCAGCAGACTATAAAACTACCGATGACAATTAATAACATCAATGTTGCTTTAATATGTGTTTTATAATGTATTCTTCGGCTAGTTAGCATTTCACGAACGTACTGTAATCGGATACGTTGCGAGATAGAATTGCTAGTTAGAATACCTAAATCAGTATCACAAGGTAATGGCAGAGTTTCTTGATGATCACTTGTAGTTACGTTAACTGGACTAAGGTTATTATATGTACCAGTTGGGCTTAGATAAGTTGAAATTGCTACAGTTGACGTAGATACACCTATCCGCCTTGAATGTTTACGAGCAATTTTTAGTATGAGGAAATAAGTACAACTCATGATCACGGTAGGTAGTCCAAAATTAATACCAACTATAAAACCAACATAATTTGGAAAGCTCCACCAAGCAACTGTGCAAATTGTTTCGAAAGGAAGGTAGACATATTCTCCCCAGCCCAAAAAGGGTAGACTAGCATTAATAGCTGAATGGATCCATATAATTGAAATTACACATGTGACTTTACTTTTGCTCATATAATGATGATATGTCAATGGTGAAGCAATAGCACAGTATTTTTCCACACTAACAGCGGCTAAAGTAATCATGGAATTAATACAAAAAAATGAGTTAGCAAACCCTGTTAAACTGCATAAGGTCTGACCAAAAACCCATTGCCCATTTAAGCAGGAAATCAAAATACAGGGCATGCATAGTACGCCCAGTAAAAAATCAGTTAAGGCTAAATTAGTGATAAAATAGTTAGATGCCGACTTGATATCATCATGATGGTAGCGTAAAACGAGTAAGACGGCGCCATTACCAATGCAGCTCATCAACATAAATAGGGTCATGAAACAGCTTAAAATGATACGCCATAGACAATCTGAGACAACTAGGCTCCCATTGCATAGCTCTAGTGATTTATTCGTGAAATTGTTAATGTAGGTATCAGCCATCGCTACATCTAAATAGATATCCAAAGATTTTTCTAGCAACTGCTAATATGTCTTATTATAACATTATTGTGCTTGAAGCAGTTCTACAATGATTTCTTCCGATGAATCTTCAACTTATCAATTTACCATTATCTAGAACTATTTTTCTTTCTGTCACATAATCCCCTAACGTATAAAATACGTAACAGGATATTATCATAACATCAGCCAAATCTTAATTATGAATTAAATCAGTTACTCATGGCAACTGTAGTTCAATCCATATATAATTAATTTAACATATCGACAAGAGATTCAAATACTTACTTTAAATTTAATTATCAGTTGCTGTTGTTGTTACTATTGTTACATCATAGTCATAAGTATGAAATAATTGATTTATTGAAATATATTCAACAATCCTATATTGATTTTAATAGTTACCTATCAACATTTCTTTAGTTATATCTTTCCAAGTCTAGAGCAACAATAGTAACGTAAGTATTGTTTCAAATTTATCTAGTTTCGTTGAAAGTGCCATTTTATAAATTCTTACTTTGTTCACGTTTGTTTTCGTGATAACATACTGTTATATAATTATTTTACAGGAATGTATAACTGCACACTGAGCAATAAATAAATTGCTATCGATATGCAAATAAAATTTATCACCATTGATGTTGGTCTTGGTATGTATAGAATATGTTATGATTTAGTTAATGACAATAATTATCCTATTGCTACAAGTAAATATTTGATAAAAGTGTTACTGATTCATTAAATTGCACCTAATATATTTTGAGCATAAATTGTGACAAATTGGTTGTGTTGGTTGCAAACGCATCTTTTAATTGATGTTTTGATATTAGCTTTCTAAAATGATGATCTATCGCTTCTATAAATGAAACTAGAATACCTGTGTTACATGTGTTTTATAAGTATGATTTAATGCTATATATGAAGTATACTTATTCATTCCTTCCTCTTAAACTGATAGTAACTTCGAAGATACCTCTATGCTTTTAATTTTGTACTGATATATGTTTACAAGAATCCAAGAAATAGCATTGAAAAATTTCGCCAAATTTTACCTGGAACGTGTTACGTTTACTTATTAGATTAGTTGTCAAGCCTTAACAGTAACATGAAATTCTATCTGTAATAACGCAATAAAGAAGTTATGGAATAAAGTTTGTAAGACTTATGCAGCAAATCCTAAACTGCGGCGCTAGCTGCTTGGATCGTGCTCATATTATTAATAATATTAATCCTATTTTGATAGAGTAATTCAATTATTAAAGGAAGTTCAACATAAATTTTTTAGTTCAAAAACATTTCATGATTTAGAAACAGTGATACGCATATCGTTTGTTGGAAAGTCATTTTCTGTGCGTAAACAGTGCCGCCTTTAAATGTTTAATCAAAATCTAAATAAAATTATTCATATTTCAATATCATCTGCCCAAAAATTATAATTTATAATTTATACGTAAACAATGCTGCCTTTAAACTTCAATATATCGCTAAATACTCGTATACTTTCGTTTCGGATAATGATCTACTTAACAGCAAATATTTTGATGGTTTATTAATTATTTTAGTTACCTTTGTGTACAAGCATGATTTTTTTTGTATACGCAAGACTCCTGATGGAAAGCCTTCATGTACGAGTTTCCATATTTTTAGGGGGTCACATCAATAGAAATCTATTACATGTAATCATTAACGTTGTGTAGGGCATCATTAAACATTTTATATGGAATACATAATTCGTAGCGAATATCGTCATCATTAGTAGGAACTTTTACGCAGCTTTACAAGGCTTCGAAGTGAATGTCCTAAATAAGAATCTAAAATTATTCAATTTCAGAAATTATTTTAGTTACTTAACATCAGACGAGCGTACAGTATGCGATTTTGCTCCTTATGTAGCTGAAATCCATAAACCCTATTTCTTAAAGGGTACACTATCAAGTACCTGTATGCGCTTAATTTACTACATAATATCTCTAGGGATACTCCTATTTCTGTTTGCTGATAGTTAGCTATTTCAGCTATGAATTAATTGTTTCTTTCGGAAATCATGATTGCGCAATAAATGATCAGACTTCGACATCGATAGTTCCTGGTACATATGTAGTCTACAATATCATGCAGAGTGGCAATAGTACTATATGAGTAAGTTAACAGAAATTCACTAAATCAGTCATTTTGTAAAGTGACTAAACAACCGTCATTAACTCGCAAAGCAGATAGGCTAGAAATAACGTACAAAGACACATCTTAAAATGGAGGGGGTGATTTTCTTTCTCGAACAGTTCCTGATAATCTCATGCAAACCCGTACAGTGGTAACAGGCAAACCGTTCGCTGAGGACAGTTTTCTTCAGTTTATTATAATTGTATGAAAAAGAACATGCAATTAATGCTCTTATATATGTTATAGGTTGTGTAAATAGAATAAGTAGACAGCAGTCACAAGCTGGTCCAACACTCATGAGAGCAGTATCTTTTATCAGAAAACTCAAGATCATTCGATGTAGTCAAGACCATGGTGAGTGGTGAGCAATGCAATAAACTTTTCTAAGCTTTACCTACTATATAGCTGAAATTTAATGTTAAAGCGTTGTAACTTCCTATAGTAGTTTATATTTTCCTGCTTTCAGTATACGTAGGTAGTATATTCGGCTACAAAAATACAGGTACATATCAAGGACACTTCACTTTAATTTCATCAGTTCTAGAAATTTTGTAACATTTCGATTTATGGAATGATGTCGCAACAATACATTGTGCAAACAGAATAAGTTATAAACGACACCACTATTCCTATTACCAAATTCTTTGATAGTTTTTTACTTGTTTCTTAAGTTGTCTACAGTAACATTTTCCATTTTATAACCTATCGTAAAAACATCCTGAATTTCGGCATATACCTGAGTTCTTTCAGTATAACTTTACTTGAGAAAGTTTGTGTTAGGTTTTCCCAGATTTTAATATAGAGAAGTTTAATTGCTACTACTTTAGTCTATCTGCGTGTTGGGCTTCCCATTCTTGACGCTTCCTACTAAAAGCAGTAATCTCTTCATCCTAGAAGATAAGCAATTGTTTGAGCTTACTACAGTGGTAAGTTAAACAGTTATAATAACAAACAAATACTGTTCTTACTAAGGTTTTCCGTTGTTTGTCTAATATCTTTTTCTCTTCAGAACGCTCCTTCTTCGTCTTTTCGAAACCTTTTAAAAGATCTTGTTCCTTTCTTTTTAGTTCTTCATCTTTTTCTTTAACCAACTGCATATAATGATCTCGAATCTCTTCCTCTTTCCGTCTAAAGGTCTCAATCATAGCAGCTCGTTCTTTCTCATAGCTAGCTTTCATGTCACTTAAACTGAATCAAGCAAGGTTTATTTTAATAAAGCAGTAGCAAAATCCGACTTCGAGTATACGGTTTTATTTAACCAAGAAAAATATCCTTATAGCGGCTTTGAAATAAAAAAACACACGTTGCTAGACTTACTTGCTTACGTCAATGTATCCCATCTCTTGAAGACGTCTACGTCGATACATTTCGTAACAATAATGATGTGTTTTCTCGCGCAGATCGTCCATGTTTGTCCTATCATTTTAACCAACACAGAAGTTTATCAATATTGAATTAACTATCTATATCAAATTTGATTAAATAGGTAAGAAAGTAAAAGTACAGTAGACGTAGCATTAGAAAATAGATTGAGAAGCTTTGTTACCTAATTAGCATATCTCGCAGTCTAGTGAAGTCACAATGATTTTCATTTTCCACTGTATGAAGTAATAAATGTTTATATAAAGGTTCAACTTCAATGACAACTTATAGCTCTATTGTACCTTGTACTACTCCCCACGGATATTGTCTGGCACGAACATGCTCATTGCCAACCTTGACTTTTTCTCGACTGCCAACAATAGCAAATGGTAACCGTTCCTAATGGGGAAAGTACAAATTTATTACAGTCTGAGAATCTTGCAAGGAGAGAATGAATACATGATATTAGTGTTATATATTCATATATTTATGGCGTAATATAATAGTGCGTACATTGTTTGCCTTATTAACGGCACTGACGACTTTATCATCCGCCGGGAAGTGATATATTTCGATATTATTAGCATTTATTTCTCCCATGATCTGTTAAAAATATCGTCCAGTGATATATAGATTTAAGTTACTTGCATCACAAATTAGGATACCTATTCGAGGATAAGCTTATACAATCGAGCAATTTGCTGAGCACAAATATATCTTATTCAACTTCTTACCCTACTCTTAAACCCTTGCAGTTCATCAATACTAATCGTGTCAGCTTTAGCAATAAGTGGTATGATATTAACCTAAAGAAAAAAAACGACATAGAATTTCGAAAATTTTCCTAATAGCACTTTATAACAATAGCTAATTACAGGTATCAATAAACTACATATAAAGAGTGCTAGCTACTTGTCAATAAGAATAGCAAACCTTTCGATGCAATGCTTCCATACATTTCAGGTCAAGTGCCTTAATTCTGTGCCGAATCAATAGAATATTATAAACTTTTCATTTGTAAACGTACACATAGCGAAAAAAATAGCAACAAAGATACAACTCACGAGTGACCAGTAGGAGAAACAAAGTATAAGCATGCATGAATACGAGTATCGTGTAGACCATGCAAATTACGGATTCCAGATGCCATTTCAGCTTGGAGATAGCGCTCAAATTGATCATCAACATATTTAGATATCTGTTCACAGCTATTGTAACGGCACATTTTGAACTTGATTAACACTTTATTTTTGTAAGAGTTTATCGAAAGCTTAAGAAATTAGCTATCAGGTAGGAACCAGAAGCCAAAGAAAGACACATAAAGTGTAGCTATTATTACTAATCAATTACCACAATTGAATTCTATTGTGTTGTTACCTTTCTCCTTTGTTAATTTGATCCCCGAAAGATTCAGTATGAACAAGTGTCAAACGTAGTGAAATTTGACTTTCTTTTAGCACTAACATTAATAATAAACAATTTTATTTATGAACACATTTGCAAGCTTCTGAGTCGGAACAGTTTCCTTAAACGTATACAGTTACATCATATATATACTTACCATATGTGGAGCAGTCAAGGCCAACTTTAGAAGTGCTAGAATGCCTTTTAGATTTAATGTCTGAAGTCATAAAGGGTTTAAATCAATTTTGGTTGTAATACGTATAAAGTTGTACTTTTTGTAAATTTACAAAATATCTTATCGTACGGCAACACCGAAATTTAATATGAACAAGGTATGTGCCTCAGCGCATCAAATAAAACATATCGTATGACGTTGGTAGTACCTTCGAATTCAGTCTTGAAAAGGGAATCCATTAACGTTGACTTTCCACATCCGGTCTCGCCTATGTGAATTTTTGGATAAAGTGATGTGATATATCTTTATCGTAAGCAGGTACAATTTAGATAAGTTCATAAACAGTAATCGAATTTATACTCATAGAATAGTTTATAATATTGTAAATTTATCTGTTTACCAATACATAAAACATTGAAATCGAAACCATTTTCAGTACATCTGTTGACAAGTTGGTCTGGAAGGCTAGAAAATCCAACAGTACCAGAAGGTTTTAGCGGACGATCTGGACCCTACAATGAGCGGTGATATATACATATTTAAAGTTGATAAGTATTCTTAGGATTCGTAATTTATACAGGCCAAAGTTGACTAAATCAATTATAATTATCCTTCTTAATGCACTGCTATCACTGTGGAGTTAAATAATATATAAGCAGGTAACTGATCGAGAATTTAAACTAATAAAAAGCAGTCGGTATTAATAGTCCAAGAGCGACACTGAGCTATCAGCGACGTACAGTGTATCGACATGTTGCATGGTCTCTTATTAATTTAATTAACTTCAGTTCGTTTGCTGCCGTATGTGGTACTAAAGAGGGCGTAAGTCTAGACGCTTTACTACACAACATGGTGTACGCTATCAGTATGACAAGCTTGACATAACCTACTGTACTGTATGATGTCAGTAGCAATATATTTTAGACAGTGTACACTAGAGATCCTATACAAAAATCTTTTTGCACAGGGTCTCGAGTATACACTCACTGTCTAAGTCGGTACTCTAAAAGTCATTAGGACATAGAAAATCGATAACATCAATACAGATTAGAGAGCAAGGAGTGCTTTTATCATTGCTTGACTTAAAGTTGGGCAGTTAACTAAATTCAGAATGTACGAGTTATATACTGTACTATACCAGCAAATTATTGACGCAATCACAAGCACCTACACTGCGTATTTCAGCATTACAACAGCAAAAATGTTAGAAAAAGACCAGCAAATTACAATTTTGTAGAAAAAGTTACATAGCCCAGAACAGTAATCTAGTTCTTATTTCATGGATTCATTACGATGATGTAACAGATACTACTTTGTGATACTAAGGAAAGGATTAGTAATGAGAGACTGATAGAATAATTAAATATGATTGGTACTTTAAGCGCACAATAAGCAATAGAACAAGTTCTTCTGGAGTACTGCAGCCATCTATTATTTTATCTACTGTAGAATTAGTACGGATTGCAAAGCATAAAGATTTATGCCGTAAAAATCGTCGACTGTTTATTAGCAATACTGTAACATGTAAAGAATAATCCATTCGAATTCGCTGTAAGCATTATCAAAAGGAGTGAAAAATCTCTATCCAATGACAATCCAAAATGAAAAGTAATTTATAGGTCTTCGAAAGTAATGGCTATTACTACATTCAGTACTATTGTTGACCATCTTAGTCGTAACATTCTCTAGCAGTACAATACAGTGTTCAGTTATCATCTTTCAACACGGCATATTTGTTATAGAAGTACGTTGCACTAATCGCTACGTACACAGTAAAATACTTTGCAGGCTACATTTCATTATTGCGTGATTGCAGTAGTATGATGAAATGGCTACATACGTATCTACGAGTCGCTATATTGAATTTGCTAGTAGGAGTTTGACAGCATCAATTTTAGTCATGGCAATCTAAAGTTAATCACTTGTCGAACTCATTTCAACTGTATCACTCATGATACAGTTGACTTATTGGAAGTCTGACAATAATAAATTCAATTGAAGTGGATTCTAGATTATTCCATATCCTACATCGGGAATCATAACATACCAAAACTCGTTTAACTTCAGAAGACATTTGTAATTTTCGAAGCAGTAAACTTGTGAGCTCCCAAAATATCGATCAAATGCTTGCCAACGTCTTTGATCTTTTGATCAGCGTAAGACTAAGCTGGCCCGCGGATGTAACCACAGTACTGTGCTCAGTCTACTGTACTTTGGTAACGCGAACACCTGTAAGCAAGCTTTTAGTTTAACCACAACCACTCAGTCAGTTTTGCGCCAACTAACCAACGACTATTTCCAACAGTTAATGTCCAGTACTGTACTGTACATTGTACAGTACTACAGTGTATTATACGCTATGGAGTGTACTGTACAGTACACTGTACTGTACAGTACAGTACCTCACCGTACTTGTACCATATTACTGCCTACTATAGAGTTCATACTAACAACCGTATTGAAAGTTCTTACTAATCTCCATTAGCATGGAGACAAGAAATTGAATACGTAGTTAAAGTTATTCTAAAACAAACTACTAGCTCCTACTCTCTCTTGATTGTATTGAAAAACGGCGGCTTATATACGTGCGCTGTTTACACTTAGAACGCAATGTAATGGCAAGTTTGTGTAACAGTAGATTCATTAGTGGATACAGTATAATAACACGGATTTGCACACTGCACCGTACTGTATTAGTCATTTCTAGTAAGTGTATGCCCGTTTCAAAGACTACTAAAAACCATCGACAGGTGTAATGACCGCCCACTACACGTTATTTGTACAGTAATGTCATATTTGTTGCATTCATGGTCTATGGACAATTAAACAAGTATTGTACTTTCATAAATGTTTTCGAGTTGGTAGAAAGTTTAGAAATTATTAAGAAATATAGGCACATCTGCAAATTAATTTTTCGATATTTTCGGCCCCCATCTGATAGGAAAGTCTGTCTGTCCATGACTTACGGGGTGACAATCGTGTATCAGACTATGGAGGTCAGTAAGAAGTTCTTTACCTCTATAGTACAGTATGTTTCAGACCTACAGTACAGTACAGTGCACAGCATGCACAATTGCACACTAAGTCACAAGCTCATAACGTGAGTGACGTCATGTAACGTACTGTACACTGTACTGAGTGTACAGTGTACAGTACATAGGTACCCTGTACAGTACAGTACAGTACTGTACTGTACAGTGTACACTACTGTAGTAAATGTACTGTACTGTTGATCATCGATTTAACTACACTAAACTTAATCATAAGACAAGCAAGCCTAGTGGAGTAATTTGAACGTCCTAAAAGAAAACAACGCAGCAACAGAGGCTTATCAACATACTTATAATACACAGTATATATATGTTACGTATACATATAATCAGATGGAGAAATAATCTTGTATAGGAGCTTCTTATTTGACTTTTCATTAATAAATAGTAACATTATCTACAGAACACTGCGCAATACAGGTAAAATTAGACTCCGCTGCTTTGAAATTGTTAATTACAAGAATGTAAAGTAGACCGTAGTGTGTGGAAAATTTAACACATACCTAACGTTTTTTGCTAAATTTTTTGGTTGGTGACGGCATATAGCGAATAGTAATTGTAACATTTATTGAATATTATCTTAAACTGATGCCAAAGAGTATTATGAATTTACTTGAATTTGATGTAGTTTAACATGTTCCATTGCTTGGCTTAAAACGACTTTCACACCTTTTGCGGTAAAATAAAGTATTGCTTAAGGTTAGGATAGCTATACTGTACGGTGATAGTACGTTGATCCACTCGACACTTTAATTTGATAATTGGAATTAATACTGTATGTTGTGATTAATTAAATGAAATGAAGAATTCATTTCAACTCGTCGGGAAAAGCCCTATAAGTTCTTATGACGTTGATAATCGCTTATCATTTCATTAGCTGTATCCGAGTTACCGCTTTGCTAATAGTTTGTTCGCCAATACTGAAATGGTTAATATTTTGCTTTTTCAAGATTAAAATCCCACAACGGTGTGATATTGTGAGCTGTTTAAAAGAATCTGCTGAGGTAATATCATGGCATGTACCTGCGGTTGTGTTGCCATCACTACGCTGGTTTTGGGTGTTTTGCTAGCGATTGGATGTGGTGTTGGTATTCCGCTACTAACGACGTTCTTGAGCGGAGTAGTTGATCAGGTCATCAGAAATATTGATCAGTTAGATATGGAATAGGCGTATACGTACTACTTTTGATAGTGAATTAAGATTTCGATTAGCTTGATACATTATTGATGAGACGCTGTTAAATTGACTCTAAAAATGGAATAAGAATTTTCATTACCAAATCGTATTGGTTGATAACTAGTTATGAATCTTGCTGCTACAGTATCGTAAAAACTCAGTATAATTCTATGATATAACCTAACCAATATCAGCTAAAAATTAATTATGCCATCTTAGTTCCGTCGTACAAAATAAATTTACTATAGGATATTGCTTAGCACGCAGTATACTCGTGTAATTATGTTTCACCCCATTGCCTATAACTTTTGATGATGCTTCTCTTAATTAAGAGTAAAATTTTCATTGCTTATTTAGAATCAGGCTGATAAACATTCATTTTATCTAATCTTAAGCAGCGACATTCAATCCTTTAAATTTATAAACCCAATAACATGACTGCTCCACACTTTTGCCGTACTATAAATTAAAAATTTATTGTATTAATTCATTATACGTATATAATTGATTTATTTAGAGGGTAGAATTATTACCGAATACCACTGGTTATAATAATTGGCTGCATCCTGGCGGACCAATTTATATGCAATTTTATATTTTCAATATTGTGAATCCATTAGAAATTGAGCAAGGTCAACGACCGGCTGTTGAACAAATTGGTCCATTTACTTATAGGTACCATGAATATAGTCTTTAAGTGGGTTGTAATCCTAGGCTATTATCAGAATTGGACCTTATTGTACATACACTGTAGAATTGTGGCTTCGTTAAAATTATAATTAATCGCGGTTAAAATGACTTCCTATTATTGTCATCTTATGTACTATAGTTTAAGATTTCTGTTACTGCAGACAATACATAGATACATATATGTAATAATTATACATTTAGTAAAACTAGAAAATTATTAACTGAAAGCAACTTCTTTCGTTCGTTAAACACGATTGCCCAAAAATTCTGCGGAAATTGTAAATACATCCAATGATAATCATATCTTGAAGCAATAGCGTATTTTATTTTGCGGTATTGATATCTACTTTTCTCGATATTGATTTACCCTATTGACAAGGTGACACCGTTTGCTAGTGAAAGGATATATCGAACTTGAATACGAAAAGCTATTACTAATGATATCATTCATGTTGACTAGGGAACATCGTATTAAAACTGATGTTGTCTTCTACACCAATGGCACTGCATCTTACAATGAGAAGAAGATTTTTATTTTTCTACCAGATCGATCAATTGATAGCGATAATTTTACGTTTACAACTATCAACGTACCATTATTAGTAAGTTGTAGTAGGTGTTTAGTATTAACTGCGGTATTAATTTACGAGCCCCTGATAAATGTTAATTATTACAATGTTTTACCATACAATAGACAACGTTGGAAATTATGAGGAAAGATAATATATCAGAAAATCTTAAGAAACTCTTTTTCAATTTCGTTTCAAACCTGCATAACGAGGGATTGTTTATAAAGCGGTCAGTTAGACAGATGATATGGGGCTATGATGACGATATTTTTGACTTTTTACGTGATATAAGTGCACTGTTGCCTAACCCAGTCAAAATTCCGAAAGTGTTTGGATTGCAACAAAATGCCTCAAGTGCTGGAATATTTGATGTTTACACTGGTAAAGATGATCCGAAAAATTTAGGAAAGATTGCGCGTTGGAATGGGGAAAGGTTAGTTCCTATAGTTACGTAGCACAGTGATTAATATAAAATCTTATGTCGCTAATTCTTTGTTATATATCAATAAAACATTCCACAGTCATTTGCATTGGTGGAAAGACAAATATGCTAATATGATCAATGGAACTGGTAAGGAAATGTCAAGCCTAACCAGAAAGTAGATGCAGTGCAATTTATAGATATAACTTTATACTATAAATTGAAAAGTATCAGTATAATTCGAGATTATTGATGTTCAATATACGTGCATAAGAATACGTTCTTATTATATCTAATTGTAAGAAACGTCTGTATCACTATTGCATTACTACGTTTTCAGATGCCGTACAATTTCATCCACATTTGACTCGGAAGGAAATGCTATATTTATTCAATAACGATGTATGCAGGTAAAGGATACCCCACAATTAGTAATTGATAACCAAGTTTCATTTCAGACTTCCAATTTGTGCTGCAAAAGGAATGACTTATTCACAGATGCAAACACAAGGCTTAAATTAGAGTCTAATAATATTGTCGTGTTTACTCTTATAGTGATTATACTATAGAATACATATTACGGTACTTTTTTATCCTTAGTTGGATAATATCACAACTGGTCACCTACTTAAGATCAATTTTTCTTTTTCAGATCCTTATACTCTATTTACCACTCTGATGTTAAACTGAAAGGCATTAATTTGTATCGTTATACTATTCCCGGTAAAGTTTTCTTGAATTCTTCAGCTAATCCAGACAATGCCGGTTTCTGTGAACCGTGCCTGGCTTCTGGACTATTAAGTTTATCCTCGTGCAAACAAGGTAAATATTTATTGTTCTCTTCCAGCGTATCATTATTTCAATCAGTGGAGTCCAGTGATTATATAATTCAATAGATAGAAAGTTTACTGATAAAGTATATCGTATTATCTTCTGTGTTAGTAGTGCATGAATTTTATCGCTTGCATTTTCAAAACGTTGTAGGGGCTCCTGTAGCTATTTCATCACCCCATTTCCTTTATGGCGATCCTCAATTAGTACATAATGTAACAGGTCTACATCCAAACTTGGAAGAGCATGCGACGTGGATTGATATTGATCCGGTAATTAGTCAATTATTTGATTACAAATGACATTATAAAACGTAGCACTTATCCGTTAGCGTATTCATATTTTATTAAGTTAAGCAAAGTGATTTCTTGTGTGATAACAGATTACAGGCTTTACCATGCATGCCCGGAAACGGTTACAAATTAATGCTGTCGTCTCGCCTGATAATTCGCTTAAGTAAGAGTTTTACGTTGTTATGTAGTTATGACATATAAATGCATTTGCTAACATCAGACTTTCCAAATAACTATTGAATACTAGGGGAATGAAAAATGTAAAATATGTAGTAATGCCGATTGTTTACCTGAACGAGGTAGTATAAACGTTTAGCTAACATAATATGTACCATCATTAGCATTCGTTATTGCAAAAAACTTTTACTGTCCAATTTTAACGGCAAATGGACTCTATTTTGTCCTTGTAGAGTGCTGAGATTGATAAGAAGCACGTCGATCTGTATAACCAGCAGCTTACTATACCATTTCTAATCTTTCATATTTTGGAGTATGCGGTGCCTGCATTTAGTGGAATTCTTATCCTAGTATCAGCGGTGGTTCTATTTCGTATTAAGCGACATGGCCGAATTCTGCACGTGGTAGGTAATCTATGCTATTTACGCAAAGTATCAGTTACTCGTATAACGGTAAAGTATGACAAGTATGACAAAGTAGCTCCTGAATAGATTTTTTTAGATGGATAAAAACTATCAAAATAATTACTATAGCTAGGTCATATATTTAGAGCCGAAACTTGTAAGGATATCTTACATGAGCTTACAATTGTATTCTCTTTTTTACAGCAACGATCAGATTATGAGCCCATAGAATAATCATAATCTTACAGCTCTGTAAACCATGTTGCATTTGTCTTGATATCTTCTCTGGGGAGCATGAACAAATCAAGTATCATGCACATACTTTTAAATGATAACAATAAAAGTAAAATTTTGGACTTATACTGTTTATAATTGTTGTTTCAAGATTTGCATTAGATATCTTAGCTAAGTAGGCGATCATTTTGATGTCATTATTGCTTAAATATGCCTAGACTTTACTTTGTTAATATCTATGATATTTTTATTCACTATAATATTTCCGCATAATATTCTAGATCCACAATTTCAGATTTATACCAATCATCTACTTGTATGATGTAGAAGCCGAGTTGAACTATCTATCTGCTATAATATTCACATTTGTAGAATTTGGTAAATATCGCCAGAATGTCCTTGATGTTGCTAAAATAATGACAAAACGTTTCATTGTAATTATATTTGACGAAAGTTGACGAAAATAATTTTGACCCTAGTTCATGATTGACTTTTCATTCCATTTTTTAATATTTTAAATCTTCAATAGCGCATCAATAATTTTTACAAAGATTTATCAAGAAAATAAAACTCAAACCTTATTAGTATAGGAATTTTATATCCTTTGTCTGAGATTACATTTGTATGATAAAAGCGTCTTGATGATTGTTATCAGATTACGAATACAGTTAACTCGAGTTAATTTCACATTCTTCGTAACTTTTGAATAAATGAACATGTTCAGTGATTGTGACAAAGAAGCAGATGCGACAGCCATTTTATAATGTTACAAAATTACAAGGTAAAATATTGGCACTGCCTGTTGACACTTAGAAATCTATATATGATATTTAGGATCGTATATTCGATTAATAATCCACACACCATAGGACTGTTAAGCCCTATGAGGTAAACAACCACGAAATATTCAATACATCAATTTCTATAATTGTATCATACGGTATTATATTGATAATACAAATTATCGATAAGTACCTTTTTACAAGCACAATACGACATCTTGATTTTGTTATAAAATAACTAGTTGGTCTAGCTAGTACTGTGCGTACCTACGCAATGGGGTGATTTTGAAGGTCACCGAAATATTGCATTCTTAAATTTAAACTACGGTACTGTACTTTGCTGACCCAATAACTTTTCCATGCTTAAAAAGTAGAAATAAGCATGTTTAGTCTTGTATCTTTAAGATGTTCTTGTTTTCCACACTATTCATCTCCTTTAGCACTTTAGCAATATTATATCGCAATTCATGAAATTTCGCCACAGAAACCTGAGTATCAATTGAGAATAGCGGTATACGGAAACATTAAGTAACAATTTACAGCAAAGAATTTACGTTTTCCCTACCCACCTCAAAAGTGAATATTTTGCCGTTGCTAAGGGTCAATTCAAGCAAGAGGTTAGGCACCAGAGATCTACTGATTGTACTACAGACAACAAAATCATAACAGACTTTAATTAAGGTTGCAAAAGGTATATCATTATAATAGCAGAGAAACTAAAACATTTTATAACCTAGTCGATATCGTTACATCAACACGCCATCTAAGAGACTGGCATCGTGGAAAATGGCATGTGCTGTTTAATATTTCGGATTCCATATATTTTCGTCTATTTATGATAAAAATTCAGATTCAGACATTACAATATACAATTTCCTACAACAGTTATTCACTCTTTGTCCTTTACCTTGAACCATATACCGCATCTCTCAGATAAGGTATAACTTCATCCGGTATTCTACAACAGTTAATAATGATACGTCAATAAAATAACAGCATAAAGTTATCAAGGACATACTGTAACATATCGCTACCATTAAGTAGCTTTGATAGCTCTTTACCTCATCTGCTGTAAATCGGTTTCAAATACCTAAAATTCCGAGAGGATAATTTTTATAAGTCTAATATAATAAACATCAGCAAAGTACAGCATAATATCTAATAATATTTAGTGTCAGCAGAAAATTTTAAATACTTTTACTACTGTCGACGTATAGTACCAATTTCAGTGAGCTCTTTCTCTATCTCTGCAGAAAACTGATCGTATCGATATCAAAGTAAGAATGCTAATAATTTAAATCTTACAATCCAGTAATATTGTAAATACAATAGTGCAACTGCATTGCTCATAATTGATCATATACTGTAAACTTATCATCAAATAATTGCTAGGTATAACATCCAATCAGCGATTCTAGGTGACTATTCTAACATTTATGAAAAAGTACTGAACTATTTATTAACTTGCTATATCCTGTAAATCTAACTGAGAATGTCATCCGTACTACTATATAAGTGATTATAATATCGGTTCATATAGCTGGTTGTACAACCTGGAAATAAATATTCTATGGACGTACAATGCTAGAAATAGTATAGTAAGAGATAAATTATAGGTAAATTGATTAATTTACAAACCTCGCTCTTCAGAGATGCATCTGGTAGTCTGATACTACTTGCTATAAGCAATTTGGTACCAGCAAAAATTATGTTAAAGTTATCAATCGGCAATTCTTCTGATTTAACTTCTTTGAGGACTCTGTGATAGCTAGAAGTGTCTCCCTCGATGTCTTTAACAACAGCTATAATTGAGTATAGTGTGAAATACTGGAGTAAGAACAAGTAATTTGAAATTGTAAATAATAATTTAATTATTATATTCATTTAGACATGAACCGAGAAAGGGAATGGTTGCTTAATTAATAGTTCTATACTTTCATACCACAGATTATCTGATAGATAGTATCAAAATATAAATAATGCTATTTCAATGCTCAAAACTAGTGACGCAAAGAGATTCACCATCTTACGAGAGGATAATCTCACTCAATCTTACATACAGTATGTGAACTTATATCGGAGTCTGATTATATTGAAACTCAAATCTAATCTTTTAAGTTATGCAAATAGACTAATGCGATTCAAATTTTACGGTGTCACAAATGGGGCTGTACAGTACTGAAGATAATTTCGATAGCAATCTGAAGCAGAATAACTAACTGAAGTGTACAATGCTATGAATTGCATTGATAATAAGTTAACAAAACTCTACTGTAAGATCACTATCGACCTCGAGGGCACTGCACGTAACCTTAAGCCTACTCTCAGTAGAAAGCACATACTGTAGGTGAAATTGCTTTTTGATAATATGATTGATCTTATTAGTTTGCTCTTTGAGCGGAAAAGCTAGCTTTCATAACTCACCTACTACTATTTTACGGTAACTTGAATGATCAATCTTTTTCAATAACTTGGACATTTTTGAAACTTCATCGGGTACTTTATATCCGGCAAAAAGTGTTCTTTCAATTGCGCCTGGTCTATTACCAGGCTTAGTTCCATGGCTGACTTTACTTGCCATATCCTTAGCTATGTTTACTCTGTAGTATCACAATTGTGCTTGAAACTGAGGCAAATATTGTTCAAGGAATAGTCAAAACGATCCTTTCTTTGCCAAACCACGAATACGAATCGACGGGTGGAGGTAGGAGCTGTACAATTGTACATCTTACTGTTGCAGCTCGATGCACAGTACAGTACTGTACTGTATATGAAGGGCTGTTATTGTTGAAAGCAAGATCTCGATCGATTTATGCACTACCGTACGTACTGTACAACTTGGTACAAGTGTACAGTACAGTACTGTGCGTACAGTACAGTCGTACTGTACACTGTAAAGTATGTACTGTAATAAGAGAGCAGTACAGTACCGCACGGTACCGTACCGTATTGTACCATAACTGGACCGTATTGTACCGTAACTGGACCGTACTCTGTACTTTCCAACGCCTGGTGTGATCCCGGAGACCTGCAAAATCTGTTGACGGTGAGTTTTAAAGTGCGTCGTCCCATGTGTACAGTACTGGACTGTACAACGTTGCAGTAAAGTGCAAAAGAAAAGCTTTACTACTAGTAGTAGGATAGTCAATCTAGCATTGCAGACTGCAGTTCGTCTACACGTTTGGCTGGTTGAGGAGATTGAAAACATCTTTCACTCCGTTTGCGTTGACTTTATTTTACAACTTATCCTAATTAATAATGATAGCTATTAGAAATGCAGCTGTTAAGCCAACTACCTGGCGCCCGTTGCTGTCCTCCATCAGAAGTATATCATTCGTTTTTCAATCAGAAGATGCCTCATCAGTTGGCTTGCATGGAGGTACAGTATGTTAATGTACTATCTTTGACGCTGTTATTATTGGGAGGTGCGCGACAATAATTCGCTCCAATCGCGACACATGCCAATAATATTGTAAAATAAACCCACTTGAAATAAAGGAACACTACAACAATATCTTGCCTAAGTTGCGTTACTGTATTAGAGGTATTGGAGATGGCAGATTTATTCACTGTTGTATACGACTGTATCGATGGATTATCTTTGCTAAAAGTGTAATGTAAGAATAAACGTGAAATGGTTAATCTTTCTGCAATTTTGACGTCAGTCGCCAATTACCTAATATGGAGCGATCAATGGGATATGTACTTATTTTTTAGCTCTTCTGTAAGAAATTTCTGCTCTTGTGTACTGTAAGTAAGAAGCAATGGAGAGTTATTGTTGATCTTAAGCTGGATCCTTTAAATGCACACTGACTGCAGCTTATCACGGGATAGATCTCAGACTGTCCACATATAAGGCTACTCAAATCACAACGTAGGATGACTATTCATGAGCTTTCGACCTATTGTAGTTGCGCTTTCACATGTGTAAATTCGTGAAATTGACATGATCCGATCTATCAATAGGACTTTATTTCTCAAATGTGCGCGTACGGGTATATAATATATTAATCAGCTATGAAATATTGTACTAATATTCATTTACCGTAAAACATACATAAGTACCTTACTGTGCGCAGCTGCTAATCACATTCTTATTCAATTTAATATCGATCGTAAGGGATAATACGTATATTTCAGAGTACAGTGCTTAATAAACTTTCAAATGCGATGTTCTCATTCCTATAGGTGAAACGAAAAGATTAAATTTGTTTCAATCGTTAACGAATGCTATGGATATTGCTATGGCTAGTGACCCAAATGCAGGTAAGATATATATCACATATTGACGGTTATAATTGATAACCTGAATTTTTGTTTTATGCAATGTACTCTATCCAATAATATATGATAAATGATAGTTAACACAACACCTGTGCAATGCACACAGTGTGCATACTAAGTAATTGAAATTATATTATACGTTTATTATACGTATTTGCAAGCCCAACATTAATCGGTAAATTTTGGCCTTTCAAGAACTAAAAACAAATAGTAGAGAAATAAATTTGCAAGCAAGTGGGTGTAACTGCTAGCTGACATTGCATGTTAAAATGGAATAAATTGTTCATGTCTATTCGAATCTGTTGTTACTAGTCTCCTCAACGACCGTAAGAACAGTTTAGTTTTGAGCTTAAGAAAAGTCTAGCTTTATTTTACAGAACTCTCTTATATGCATCAATTTGCACATCCGATGATAAAGATTTTACAAGTTTTAGATAAAAATAGTACTTCAGAACTGTTATGTATCTATATTATTATTTTGCACGATAGTTACTCTGAATGCAGCTAGTAAAGTTGATCTTTTTACTCATCAACATGTGCTTAGATGCTTCCACTAATAACACAAAATGTCATCATGATACGAGAACTTCACTAGCTATATTTAAGGCTATGATATACTGTAGGCTATGCTATTTCACAAATAAAATCTTATTACATATCCATATGAATAATTACATACGAGTATTAATATTAAATATTAAATACTCATCTAATTTACCTTTTAATTATAACGACTTATTTTTACAATACTGTACATATCAGAACCCAATCTAATTCAATTACATTTTATGGAAAACTGTGAGACATCTTTAATAATGGTTTACTATACCTATTACAAAGATTTCAAGTTACATAAATTCTTAGTAAATATCAATTAACAACTAATAATATAAGCCTTGATATCTGTATAGCAGAAGTACTCGAACTTTTAATAGCATTAACGTCGTTGATATTAGCAATGAATGATATCTCTATCTAAAAAATCAACTCAAGTTAATTCTAAAGGTCTATTTTAATTTTGCGTCAAATAGAACAACAGATATTAACATTTCTCATGTAATTGATAAAATAAATAGTTATCTTTGGAGAAGACGTTGCCTTTGGTGGCGTATTTCGCTGCACTTTAGGACTAGCGGACAAGTACGGTTAGTCCAATCCAAGATCTTTGGCAATTAGCGACTATTGAATTAGAGGTCATTTACACTTGTAAAGATAGGTAATTTCGTAATGTATTATTTTCATCTATACAGGAAAGGATCGAGTATTTAATACTCCATTATGTGAGCAAGGAATTGCCGGTTTTGGAATTGGTTTAGCGGCTGCTGGAGCTACTGCGATAGCAGAAATTCAATTTGCTGACTATATATTTCCCGCTTTTGATCAGGTACTGCAAATACCAAAGTAAGAATAGAACGATTTTATCTGTTATAATATTATATAATAGTCGATAATCAACTTAAATTGCCTACTAAGGTAATATATTAGTAAGAAATACGCAGTATGTTATATTTCCGAACGTAAAATAAAATTTACTCCACGGAAATGACCCTTATATCATCGATATGCCAGACGTGTAAAATTTGCCTGTTATTGTAAATATTATCCAGTTGAGCTAGAACAGTAACCTTGATAATTATGTTGTACAATCTTACAAATTTATACCAAGGGGATGCACTCAACCAGTAGAGTCTATACAGCTAACAATTAACCGCTTTTTATCGATTGTGTTTATTGCAATTTTAACCACAGATTGTAAATGAAGCTGCAAAATATCGCTATCGCTCTGGTAATATATATGACTGTGGCAAGTTAACAATCAGAGCACCTTGTGGAGCTGTTGGTCATGGTGCCTTATATCATTCGCAGTCACCAGAAGCATACTTTTCACATACTCCTGGACTTAAGGTTCGACTAATTACTGCAGTATTTAAAAAATTTGCAAACTGACCTACATTAATTCTGATCAAGATCTCTTGCACTGCCATTCATCTAATGCTACATAATATTATTTTAAGTGTATATCACCATAGATATTATTATAATCTAAGCAGGGAAGTCTCTTTGTTTCGTTTGCTAAGGTTGTCATTCCTCGCAGTCCTATACAAGCCAAAGGTCTGCTGTTGTCTTGCATTCGTGATCCGAATCCTGCCATATTTTTAGAACCGAAAGTGCTATATCGTTCTGCAGGTTGTAGATTAATGTTATAATGCTGTCTTTTAATCGCTAAATAAGTTACATTTTTATTATATTGCATCACAGTCGAAGAAGTTCCGGTAGATGACTATGAAATTCCGCTATCAAAAGCTGAAGTAGTTATGGAGGGTAAGGATAGTTCTAGTGTTCAGAAATTTGGTCGCTTGTAATTGATAAAGCAGCGCAAACTTTGCTATGTCATATTTGCAAAATACTATGCTTGTGATAACATAGGATTCTTTAAATCTATACTCTTTACGTTCGTAGAGATGCTATCAAATGTACCAAATCTTGTCTTTAAAAGGCATGATTTTTGGCTGTAAATACGGCTTAAATTACATGATGATACAATCTTTTGATTTCATACCATCTTAAAGTAGTTTATAATAACATTTCTAAACCGTGCATGATGGAATTATTTGCTAATTTAATACCTTGAGATTTGTATATTTTGTTTTATAGGTAGCGACATAACACTTGTCGCTTGGGGCACTCAATTTCACATTATAAAAGAGGTTGCCGATATGGCTCGTGAAAAATTTGGAGCATCATGTGAAGTTATAGATTTAAGAACAATTTTACCTTGGGATTATCAAACTGTAGTGAAGGTAGTATATATATTACTGTTGATTATTATTGAAAATTTTGTATGCGATTTCTAAAGTGAAGCTATCTAAACAGACTAAATCACGCTATAATTTCTTAATGCAATTTAAAGTCTGTTAAGAAAACTGGAAGACTAGTTGTGAGCCATGAAGCCCCAATAACCTCTGGATTTGGAGCCGAAATTGCTAGTACTATCCAGGTTGATTTATGACAAATACTTATTTCCATGTACGATTTCATATTTCAGTTTAGCATAAGAACTTGACTGTAAGGTTTTCTTTATATCAATATTTAGGAGCGATGCTTTCTTAGCTTAGAAGCGCCAATCCAGAGAGTATGTGGGTTGGATACGCCTTTCCCACACATATTTGAACCCTTCTATGTTCCGGATAAGTGGCGATGCTTAGACGCTGTTAAGAAAGCACTCGACTATTAATAATATTATTTCCTTTATGATTATGCATCTAATACTGCTTTATAACTGGTGTTTGATTAGGTAAATAGTACTTATCTTGATAGATTGATATGTGTAAGTATTGGGTATATTACTCCTAAAATACTTTGTATTCCCATGAGATATCAAAAGCGAATGAACTTATACCCGATTCTACTACCATACACATATTATTAATATATACTATAAAAATTATACCAGAATACACTTGTACAAATACGCTAGCGTCAGATACAAGTTGCTGTTTTAACTGGTATACAGTACTAATATAATTATTATTGAATCTTCCGAGGCCAGATTCCGATCTCTGCGTGTCGTATTTTGTACCGTAAGTCATAATATTTGTATCAGTAGTAACTTTTCCGATTACAGTTCTGACTTGCGTTATTAGTACCATGATTTCTGATTTGAAATTGCATTACGGACTTCTACTGATGCTATTAAATGCAAGATATAGTGGAGATTTACTTGATAACTGATTACATGGACAGTTTAGTTAAAGTATAACTTTTTTCTTAATATTTGAACACAATCTAAATTTTTAATCGTTGATGGAAACTATTTTCAATAGTAAATAATAGCATAGAATATATTTCAAAAGGCCCGGAAGTTTATATAAGTTTCTCGTTGGCTAAATTCGTGCTTATGTATAGGAACATTAATATTAATCATCAAATTTTCGGTCTTAAGAAAGAGCGGCGTTTTTACCAAAGATAAACCTTTTGCAAAAAAAGTTGTGACATTTAATACAGGCAGTTAATGGTAACAGTGAATATGATGTTAAAATTAAAATATTAGAGCAAATAAAAATTGCATTGGCTCATGTATTTAATGATCGTAGTATTTTGCCTACCTTGATTAAGATAATCAATTATAGTACAAATTGTAAAGCCAGACAATTGGTAATCCTGCGAAAATTGAAGTCATTCGCAATGATCCATGTATAATAAATAATACATAATCTTTCAAACTGCGTGTTTGTAAGATGAGTCAGTCGTCATTTTATTACCAGTGTACGTACCCTTTATCCTTGATTGTCATCATTTTTAATAACCCGATAGGCTAAGAATTCTATTTATTTACGCTATTCTAACCAACACGAAATACTTTATCCATATTCTTTACCAAATACTTACTTTGTCTGTGCCACCTTGAAGTATATTATTGTTATATTCGATCCTCCTGCATGATATAAATACCTTCCAACATACGACTCGTATATACGGTATATAACTTGAATTGGTGAGGCGTTACGTAAAATACAATAGTTGAAATTATGGTTAACAAAGTGATGAAGAAACCTTTATAATCATGTCCTTTTAAACAATTCAAACAATTCAATTCTGAGCAACAAGATCCTTGCTGAGCTCCAAACCTTTCATTGATGTTATCACTAGCTTAAAACATAATTGTTATGCCCTTATAGGTTCTACGACATCCATTAACAGCTGGTGTTCATCATACTCAAATGTCCTGTAATATTAGTGACCAAATAATAGTATTAAGATTGTTGTTTGTATCTTCCTCAGTCCTCACCCGGTTAGTAAAGATTAGCCTTGGTAGGTATGGAAAGTATTATTATCAGGGTTACCTTATATCCAATTTAAGGTATATAAATATTAAATGGCACCTACTGTATAAACTAGCTATTTACAGTATGCTAACACACTAATTCAACGGATAGCAGCGATTTCAATGATTTGAAATTTTTATCAATAATAATATTTTATTGTCGCTAATAGTACCTTAAATTCGTTACAATGAAAAGTTAAAATACAATAAACTTCGATGGCGTTACATTGCTTTGATATATGGCATATGGAATAGCGGTCATCCTATTATCGCACCTGTTGAATTGAAGAATTACCCGTGTAAAAGTTTCAGCCTTTTTTTCTCAAGTTTAATAGCCATTAGAATTGCTTTGATCAATGATTGTTAATCAATCATCTATTAATACGACTAACGATAATTGCATTACAGGAGCTCATCAGATGAGACACAGTAAACAATATGCATATCGTAATATTCAAATGATTATTAACAAATTGGACAGACTAATTGTCATTTCTCTTAGTAATCATTTATCCCCCCTAGAAGGAAATGATCATTCATTATGAAATGCTTGCGGCCTTAATAGGATCGCCTTATACTGTATTGATTTAAAAAAATGATATATTGTGAACGTTAATACACGATAAATCAGCGCAACACACACCTGTATGGATTAAAATTACGGCCAACGTCTTCTTAAGAACTGATCGCACTCAGGCAAGATTTTTCAAGATTAGGATTACCCTAGACGTAATAATATCTATTCTACCCCATGTACGACAAATACAAGTGTAACACAATTCTAAAGATAGGCTTCAAAAATCCGGCAATAAATACAAATAATAATAGATGAAGGTAATGAACTACATAAAATCACCCTCATATATGGTTAACTTTTTGACCGGCGATACGAGTCTCGTATCGCCGTATCGGCATTTACTTTAGCATTAATGACCTAAAGCTAAATAACATCGGCTATTGTGTACTTAGGAACTTTTATTTCGCTTACAGGTAAAGTCAATATCGAATTAAAAATTGACGGATTTGTTTATAGTGATGCCCCTTTACCATAGTGATTTCATTGAAAACAATAATAACTCAATCAAATACATTGGCAATTCTAATGCGATAATCGTATTGTTATCGTCGTAAGTGATGGCGAAATGCTAATAGGATTAATTTTAATTGGCGGTATCTCAAAGGCATCATTAATGTATTGTCTTCAATGATAATAACTTACGCGAAGGGACGGATCATAGCTATCTCGTTGCCCATCATATAACAATTGTGTAATANAATATTGATGACGTTCACATAATGCAATAGTCATCTGAATTTCTTTTTCGTTAGTCTATCGACTTGA